CTGTTTTCAGTGTGGCTTTGAACTCACAGAGATCCGCCTGCCTCTGCCTCCCAAAGTGCTGGGACTAAAGGCGTGCGCCACCACTGCCTGGCATAATTTCCTTCCTTCCTTCTATCCTCCCTCCCTCCCTCTCTCCCTCCTTCCTTCCTTCCTTCCTCTCTCTCTGTGTGTCGCTCTCTCTCTTTCTTTCTTTTTCTCTTTTTTTATTTCTTTATTTTTTGACCTGATTTACAATTCAATGGCTGTTCAGGTCAGGGTCCCTCACTTCCGCCACTCTCAGGTCCACTGCTCTGGGGTCAGTTTTCTGCTCAAAGGCATGGATGTGTGGGAGCTTTTCAGCTAAGCATTCATTCACCAGCCGGTGTCTCTGGAGCAGTGGCTTTCCCTCGAACTTAGCCGACACCACCAGGACTCGGAAGCTGGTCGCGCAACGGTTGAGAATAATGTCCTCCACCTCCACATGCTCTGCCTCCAGGTCCCACCGCTGCAGCTTCTTACAGAGGTAGTCGGCGCTGAGTACCATGGCCACAGCCCAGTGAGGGCACAGGCAGGCATGACAGAACCTTGCTTCGGGTCCCACCATTCCACCTTCCGCCCTCACTGGTGGGACCATTTTCATTAGCTGAAATATTTTAACTCTCACTTAACTTCTACTTATAGTAGCTAAGTAGAGACAAGGATACCTTTATTTTTATAGGCCAGCTTGTATTCATTTCGCAGGCCTGGTTGGTTCATAAGAGTCCTAACTGATCCGTGCCGTTTCTGTGAATGTGTGTGTTCTGCTTCCTTACTGGTAGTTGTCTGTTAGTCAGCTCTGGATGCCACAGCAGAGTGCTGGAGGCTGAGCAGTTTAAACAACAGAAACATATTTCTCACAATTTGGGATCAAGCCATCTCTCCAGCCCTCCGGGAGAGAGTTCTCTAGGTTAAATTTTTAAAATTTATTGATAATGCAATTGTAGTAATGTAGCATGAATCTTAAAAGGTCTTATTAATAAAAACAAGCCTGGAGCCAGGTACTGGGGTCAACGCTGGAAGATCAGAGAAGCAGAACAAGCCACAGCCACCTCACCTTGCCAATTCCTCAGCTGATCCTGTTTTGAGTCTTCATCCAGAATGAATCTCAGCTGAACTGCTGCTAAAAGCCTAAAAACTTAACCAGCTCTAGTTCCTGGTTTTCACGCCTTTATATACCTTTCTGCTTTCTGCCATCACTTCCTGAGATTAAAGGTGTGAGTCACCATGTCTGGCTGTTTTCAGTGTGGCTTTGAACTCACAGAGATCCGGATGGATCTCTGCCTCCCAAGTGATAGGATTAAAGGTGTGTGTGCCACCATTTTCTGGCCTCTATGTCTATCTAGTGGCTGTTCTGTCCACTGACCCCAGGTAAGTTTATTAGGATGCACACTATATTGGGGGACACAATATATCATAGTAATACATTTTTTTTTCCTTTTTGAGACAGGGTTTCTCTGTGTAGCCCTGGTTGTCCTGAACTCACTCTGCAGACCAGGCTGGCCTCGAACTAAGAGATCCACCAGGCTCTGTCTCCTGAGTGCTGGCATTAAAGGTGTGCGCCACCACTGCCTGGCAGTATGTTTCATGACTAGCGTGGCTGCAGTTTTCTTCTTTAGGGCATAACTTTCACAAGTGGTGAAGAAACTCAGGCACAGTAACCCACTCTGACCCGACTCTCATGGACATTCCTTTCCTACACCACTTTTTATGATGTCTGGTGGCCTCCAAGAACTTCCAAAGGTGGCTTTGCCTGTGAGCACTGTCTTCAGAACTCTTTTCAGTCTGCCTTGGAGGACCCAGGCATAGTCACAGGCCTGCTCTTCCTGTGTTGTCCCCGTCCCCGTCACCTCCCCCCCCCTTATCTGTTGTCCTGGGCCCATGTGTTTTGATTGGAAAATGTGTTTTAAAATGATTGACAGCATTAATCTGTAGATTAGGATGGGAACTTTGGAGCATTGTCTTCCTAAAAGAAATTTTATTTTCTTCTATCAGGTATCTGGGAGGTCAGCAGCCAGGAACCATCCTAATCCAGGTTCAAGGTCTGACTCTGGGTTACTGAGCTGGACAGAAGGACACTTAGCTGGTGTTTATACAGGGTCTGGTTTGTGCACCTTTACCTCCCCACAGCAGGGGCTGGGAGGAGCCCTATTAGATCTCCTTTCTGCAGAGACTCAAGCTGTGGACACATTGCACCCATAGGTTCTCAAGTCTGGCTTGGAGGGAGGATAGGGATGATGAGGGGCAGGGGTGTATGGGGGCAAAGTGTGAGCTTCAGTTTGCTCTGTGGTGGGTCCTGAGCGCCTGCAGCCTTGTTCTGCAGAAGTGCTCAGTACATCTTTGATGGTGAGTGAGGGAGTAGATGAGCCGGTCTCAGGGAGTGTGTGGCTAAGGTCTTTTCTGGAGGCAGCAGGATTCACCTGCCACCTCTGCCACCCCTCAAGTATGGTGGGCCAGATAAACCCCACCCAGAACTGCTCCTGATAGCAGCTCCAATGACTTGGTGGTGGATAGCTCAGGCTACAGACAGCAATCAGGGGAGCCTTGGGGATCGGCTGCAGACCCCAATCAGGGGAGCCTTGGGGATTGGCTGCAGACCCCAATCAGGGGAGCCTTAGGGTCTGGCTGAAGTCTGTCAGGATTTGGTCTTAGGGAGCAGAGAGCTAGATGTGGCCCAGCTGGAGATGGATGGAGAATGGCTAGATCCAGATAGGGGGACAGATGGAACAGGACAGTTAGGCTGCAGAACTGGCTGTTGGGGTCAGTGGGAGGCCACAGGTCAGCAAAGCAGAAGGTTATGTGGGCCAGTGTGTGTGGGAGAATGGAAGCGTAAAAGGAAGTCTTTGGGGTGGCTTTTTGTATTTTTAATGATTGAGACAAAAGATGTCTGAAACTGCAGATTCTGGACAGACTACTTGTGCTTGACCAGCCGAGACTGGAACTTGACCTCAGCTTGGTCCTGCTTGGCCGGCCCCTGAAGAGCAGACTCAGCAGGGGAGATTGCTGATCCTGGGAAGGGGAGAAAGCAGGGTGGCCAGCTTTAGGAGGCTTACTCTGGAACCTTCTGAGGAGTTGGCACTGTTCTGTTGATTTGAACAGGTTCCTGGGCCTCTCTCATTTCTGTCACAAGTCTGAGCTAGACACCAAGGCCGCCACAGTTTAGCAGTGTCCTCCCCCACCCTGAGTTACTTTGCTTTGTGAGAGGCCAGGATGATATCCTGGCAGTTAGTGGCCACCCACACTGAGGCACTCAGAGTCATATAAGCCGTTTCCTGGTGGGAGATGGCACATCCAGGCCTACCGCGTGGTGTGCCTGGGCCTCTGGGAGAATGAAGGTGGTACTTCTGACTGCTGCTCTTCCTGCTTTGGTCTCTCTGCCCTGGGTCCAGGCAGTGTGGCTGGGAAGGCTGGATCCTAAGCAGGTAACAGCCTTCTTGGGTAGCAGGTCCTAGGGCCAGGCCCCACCTTTGAGGCTTCATAGCCTTTGGGTCCCCAAGAATCAATTTGGACAAGCCTGGATGGAGGGAGTTAGACTGCATGAAGGGGGTTGGAGTTCTTTGACTGTGCTTTGAGGGAGGAGAGCTGGGTATCTCAGCTGATGCTTCCTCTAGCTCACTGGGCCCTGGTACATCCTGGCTGTGGCCTCCCGTGCGAAGGACTTCATGGAGAAGGACATGAAGAATGTGGAAGGCGTTCTGGTGACTCTTACTCCAGACAACAAGTTGAGAATCCAGTCCTCTAGGCATGGGTGAGTAGGCAACCCTCGAGCTGTGTGACTCTGTTTTAGCTTCCTCAGCAGGAGCAGCTTCACCAGAGGGGCTGCAGGCTTTGTCCATCTGGTTCGGGTAGGAGGACTGGACTCTGCAGACCCGCTCCTGGATACATGGTTGGCTCTCTGTGCTCCCCACTCCTCTGTGCTCCCCAGGTTAGTCTCCCCTTTTCCCTGAGCTCTCCAGAGAGGCATGCTCCTGCATCTGTTGCGCTTTCTTCTTTCCCGTAGCGGACTCTGCTCTGACTCAGCCACTTTCTACCAGCCTATTGCATCTGTGTTCCTGGCCTCTGACTGCATGACTTGGTCCTCCTTTGTTCTCCGTGCCTTGCCTGGCCCTGGTCAATATGCAGCCCTTTTTCTCTGTGAGTCTTTTGGAGCCTGTGAAAGTTGGTTCATGCATTTGGTCCTCAGGGCCACCAGCTTGGCCTCTGGAAGGAGGTCACCAAGGTCTCTTGCCAGTCTGGCCTGTGGGATCAAGCTGGCCTTGTCTAGTGAAGTACCGCATAGCCGTCTCTGAGGCAACTGGGGGGAGCGGGGGAGGGAGCGGAATGAATGTCTCTTAAATGCGACTCATTTGGTTTGGCAGGCTGGTTGCTTAGCGAGGACCCGAGCCACCGAGACAGACTGGGGCCCAGAGAAAGCCTCTCTCTCTTCCTGAGATTTCTCTTAAGTCTGCTCGAAGGACATGGCAGGGCCTCTGTCACCCGAGGGCCTGGGAGGACACGGAGGAGTGGGGACAGAGTGGTCTCAGTTAAGGTGAATCTTCCACATAGCTGGCCAAATGGCTCAACAGCATGGGGATGGTGGACTCCTGTGGGTCCAGCAGGCTGTCACTCCAGCAGAACAGCACACTCATGAGCAGCTGAGGAGTCTTGGGCCTACACAGGGTTGGGTGGGTCTCAGGAGAATCGAGGAGTAGTCTGTATTTCATTAGTACTTTGTTGCCGGTCTTTGAAATATAGTGGGTGATTAAAAACCAGAGTTTCTAAAGGCAGGCAGCTGAATTGCTTCCCTTCACCCTGTCTCTGCCAGCCAGGGCTTTGGCATTGTGACTGTCGCTTTGCAGGGTACTTTATCACCCCGTGTCATAGCAATCATTCCCACCTGTACACAACTCCATCTTCCCAAACTGAAACTTCGCCCGCATGGGACAGCATTCCATCACTGTGGCGAATTTGCCAGGATGGAAGGTTTGCCTAGGCCCATGAGTCCAAAGGTTTCAACCCTTGGTTACCCGCTGATCCTGCTGCCTTGAGACTATGGCGAGCGCGGTACAGCGTGGAAGAGAACACACGGTGGGGGAGGCAGCTGACTTCATGGTGCTGGAAGGAGAGAGAGAAGAGAAAGAAGGAGGAGGAGGAAGAGGGAGAGGAGAAAGAGGAGGAGGAGGGAGAGGAGGAGGAGGAGGAGGAGGAGGAGGAGGAGGAGGAGCATCTCAACATCCCTTTGAAGGACAGACACATCTCCAGTGGCCAAACTTCCTTCCACCGGGCTCTACCTCTTCCCTCAGATATGGGTGGAAGCATCAAGCTTTCAACACATGGCCTGTGGGGGCACTCTGATCGAGTAGCACTGGATCCCCCATCCCCACCCCAGCCAATGACACCCCCTCTGTGCTTCCCGTCTCCCCATCCAGGGATGGGAGACCCCAGAGAAATGTCCCTGTAGAGCCAGTCCTGTTGTGATTGGGTTTTCCTTAGTCCACATCCTCCAAGTCCACCCTTTCCATCTTGGTTGGGTGACACCCCACTCTGTGGAATGGGCTGTGTGCTGCTTCTCCGTTATCCACTGGTGGGAGAGTTCAGCTATTAGGAGCCAGCCTCTGCTTTCAGTTCTTTTGGGACACATCCAGGAGTGGGATCCCAGGCCACATGGCAACCTCACAGTTAACCCAGAAGTGCTCTTCTCTCCCTTACAGAGTGTGGTACCTTTTTTCTCTTAGCCAGTGTTACACATGGACACTTAGGTGGCCTCCACCTTCTGCACTAGAAATGTGGAGGCCGTGAGCCTTGGTAAGTTGGAACAGAGGGTTTAATCTTAGAACTGGCAGTTCTTTGTCATCTGCTGTCTCCAAATAGGTCTGAACTCGGCTCCTCTCATAAAGCCCACGCTGTAGACAAGGATAACGTTGGACTCCTGACCCTGCCACTACCTCGCAGTGCTGGGATTGGAGGTGTATAGGTGTTTCCCCACATCTGACTAATGTTTCTGACACTGAGAGTCACAAATGTGTGGATCACTGTGTTTCCCTCCCAGGGAGCTCTCTTTAAATATTGTGCATGTTTTCCTCTAGAATGTTTCTTACTGGTTTGTGAGAAGGGGAAATTTTAGCAACTAGTCTGTGATAAAAACTAGTTATACCAGGTGATGGCGGCATACACTTTTAATCCCAGCACTCGGGAGACAGAGGCAGGCAGATTTCTGAGTTTGAGGTTAGCCTGGTCTACAGAGCGAGTTCCAGGGCAGCCAGGGCTACACAGAGAAATTCTGTCTCAAAAAAACAAACCAAAACACCAAAAACCCAAAACAAAGCACCCCCCCCCAAAAAAAAACAACGCAAAAGACCAAACTAGTTACAGACATACTTCCCAGTTTGTTTTTCTGATGTTGGGTTGTTTTTTTTTTAAAAAAATGTACGTGTGTGAATATTTTGCCTGCACGCATGTTTGTGTACCATGTACATGCCTGATGTCCACAAGGGTCAGAAAAGAGCATCAGATCCCTTGGCAGTGGTTGTGAGCTACCATGTGAGTACTGGGAACAGAAACTGGGTCCTCTGCAAGACCAGCACGTGCTCTTAACTGCCAGGCCACTTCTCCAGGTCCGAGGGGCACTTTTTTCTATGAAGCGCTTTTTAGTTCTGCACTGTGTGTACACCAGCCTTGCTTCTGAGGGTTCTGGGTGCTATGACATTGAGGGGCGGAGAGGTGCTCCTTTCTCTTTCTGTCTCTGGAAGTCTTCAATCTTTGGCACTTCTAGAATTTTGCCTGGGGTAAAAATGTGAGGTGCACTCAGGTAGCTGGCAGCCCCACATGGCTTATGACCTTTGTCATAGGTGGGTGTCTGGGTAAGTTTTCTTTGTTTTTTAACTTCTTATTCTGTTCCTTTGATCTACTACGTATTTACCCAGCCCTTGTTGTGGGTTTAGGGCGCATCTTCGTCCGCTGGATCAGCTTCTGCTGCTTTCTTTCGGGAGCCCCAGCATCTGCCCCTGCGGGTGTCTTGTCCCCAGGCGTCTTTGCGGACGCTTGCCACGTCTAACAGACCCTGCTGCGCTTCTCTTGCATTTGCTCACCTCAGAGGCTGCCTCCGCGGGGGATTCTGGGCAGTGTCTTCTCACCTGAACCACAGGCTGATGTCTTTTGAGCCCTCAGCACCTGACTGTGGATCCCTGGGGAAATGAAGGGGATGATGAGTGCTTCTCAGGCCCCAGGGTGGGTTTTCTTGGTAACCCAGGCATCATGAAAGAGGTGAGCTCCCTTTGAGGCCTTCCCCCAGGTGGGGCCACAAGTGAGTCTCAGAGGCTTTCCTCCCATTGCTTCCTAGGCCAGATGGGTGTCATCAGAGCACTGTGGAGCTGCTGAAGCGAGATTCCCGATGGGCGTTTGAGAACCCCTGTGAGTGTGACGTCACTGGGACCTCCTCACAAATCACCATGAAGCCAGCCCCTGTGTGTTCCCAGGCTGCAGTTGGTAGGGCCAGGCCTGGCAGAAGGAGACCGCTCTGCTCCAGAGCCCTTGGCACAGCACTGTGTGCCATTAAAAGATCTGACAGTCGGGACCTTGGGGTCAATCCTCAGGGGAGAGAGGCCCCTGAATGGAGGTCTTAGACCTCATATTCTCACCCTCATGTGCCCAGATGTTTGTGAGGGTCCTAACCTCAATCCCTGGGCTCCTTCACGAGTTCAGGGGGCAGGGTGCTGGTTAGTATCATTCTACCCCCATAGGGTGGGGCTGGGAAAGGGTGACCCCTTGCTCTTCAGTCACCCCAGGCTGAGATGAGGCAAACACTCCTCTGTCCATCTGTCTACCGGCATCATCTAAGAACTCCTTCTTGCTGGCGCAGTGTAGAGGTCAGGGACCTGGGGACAGCTTGAGACCTCTGCTGACGTTGGATAGGATCTGGTCCTGAGTCTGCTCTCCATCTTAACGGCCAGTCCCGGTTCCATGCCTGGCTGGCGTGATGGCCCTGACGCCCTTGCTGCCCCGGGATCTTGTGTTTGCTCTCTAGCTCTTGGTGTACTGGATTATCGGGTACTGGGCACGAACTTCAAGGACTACGCTGTCATCTTCACACAGCTGGAATTTGGGGACGAGGCCTTCAACACAGTGGAGTTGTACAGTAAGTGGGGACAGGCAGGGTGGCTCAGCGTCCCTGGTGTCCCCAGACACAGGCGCTCTGTGTCCTAGCAGGGAGCACACAGGGACAAGCCCCAGCCACCCTGAGGTTGGGGTAAAGAAAGGGGCGGGGGACACAGCCACGCTCTCCGTACTCCGACCGTCTCTCAGAAACTGCTCCTTTGTGTCCAGGTCGGACAGAGATGGCCAGCCGCGAGGCCATGCAGCTGTTCACCAAGTGGAGCCAGGGTCTGGGCTTCCTGTCCCATCAGCAGGCCCAGCTGCAGAAGGACTGTGAGTATTACTAGTACTGGCCTCCGGGAGCACAGGCAGTTCTGACACACAGGGAGTTGCTGGATTGGGGGAGGTGATGCGCCTCCCGCTTTTACTGGTCTATGGGTGCTTCAAGGGATCACCCATACCTGTCATAGTCAGGCTTGGAGGGACAGCCTCCTCGGGGAGAGGCTTGTGGGTAGGGTCCTGGGAGCTGCTACAGCCCTGTTCTCACAACTGGCTTGGTTCTTACAGTCACGTGTGCACACAAGATCCTCCAGGTAGGCCACCTTTTCGTGCATCGCTCTTGGCTCCCTGAGGAGCCTGGGACTCCGGGTGGACCCTCTTCAAAGCCTGTGTAGCCCATGGCTCTGCAGGTGGGAAGGTCACTGAAGGTGAGGATCATGGCTGTCAGGAGCCCCACCCCAACTCTTGCCCTGGTTTTCAGTGAGTGCCACACCCCGGAGAAAGCACCACAGCATCCTGGCATCCTGGTGGAGGTGGGCAGGCACCGTCTCTGCTCAGTGGCTGGTTGGGTCTCTGCTCTCCTAAGCTCAGGCTTGGGTTGAAAATAAAGTGATTTCACAAGTAAACCTGCCACAGTGTGTCTTCTCTGGGGGTGGGATGGTCCCTGTGCTGTGGGAGAGGACATCTCCAGAGAACAGACCATGGAACCACAGAGCCAGCTCGGGAACAAAAGAGTTTGATGCACTAATGTCCCTTGCCAGAGTTCTTGAGCTTGAAGACAGGGGTGGTGGCTTTTCACTGGGGACGGGATGTAGCCACTAGAATGGCAAAAGCTGAGGTGTCTGGGCTAGACAAGAGCTATGTGAGTAGGTCAGGAGACCGTTAAGGCAGCCGCTGGACCATCAGAATCCACGGATAGGGGGCCAACCACCTATGCACTGCCTAATAGAAAGGAACACTGAGTTGCACAGTAGGAGAGCATGGAGAGCATCTGCCAACAGCCTAGTATGATCGGGGGCGGTTAGCATCCACAGGCCGCCTAGCAGGACACAGAATTCACGGACTGTCTAGCCGGGGAGGTCAGTATCTGTGAACTCCCAGCAGGGAGATGCGGCCAGGGCTCTAGCTCTTCTTTCTCTGCCAAGGCTCTGGCTGCTGGCTGGGGGTGGACATGGGGGGTGATGGTGGAATTCCCCAAGGTCTGAGCCTGCAGTCCCTCACTACAAATGGGGTGTCTGGAAAGGAAATGGTGGGATGATATCATCTATTGGAAAGTAACAGGGGAGAAGAGGGGGTCAAATCTTGGGTACGTGTGAGTACTCGGTCTCTCTCTCTCTCTGCTGGCCTGGTCATCAGCAGCTCCCCAGGCACTATAAATTGTCTTAGGCAGGGAGCTCCCAAGTTTATGCCCATGTTTCCCTCTCTCCTGTCTGCACACCTGCCCAAGAGGCTAGTCCCAGACACACCCTAGGCTTCTGCCTCTCACCTTGGGCTAGGGTTGTGAGAGTCCCAGCATCCAGTGCTAGGTGAGTCAGCCCAGGCTGCAATAGCATGAAGGTGTGTGTGGTTCTAGTCCCTCAGTGGTGAGGAATGTGAGGACCAGCCTCCATGTGGCCTCTGAGAATGTGGCGGTGTCCATCTTCAGGGGTCTCCCAGGCAGGCAATGGCTGCTGTAACCAACAAAGGCCAGGCTGAAGCCCTCAGAAGGAGGGGCAGAGCTTGAAGCCACACCTGCCCACTTTTTTTTACCCCACCCATACCAGCAGCCTGAGGCTCCAGGGTGGGTCTGACATCACAACAGGGCAGACACGGCGAGATACAGGTTTAATTAAACCTAGCTGCCCCTGCTAAGGATGAAGCTGGAGACAGGCCCGGCCATAGTCCTAGTTCTGGCTGTGGCATCCTGGACACAGGAGTTTTTCCCTAAGGAGGCCCAGACTCTCAACTGGGGCAAGGTAAGCCACATGCCCCCTTGGTACCTTCATCAGGTACTAGGGTTACAGGGTACATAGACCAGTTAGGACTAGAACTCCAGCTGTGGGACCATCTGGGATAATGTCCCCAGCAGGAGGGCAGGACACGGTATCCATTGGGTCCAGCTGTGTCGGTTACCCGTCCTCTCCCACCACCGCCCCAGCCCTGGGACCCCTTAGATACCTCTGCAAAGGAGTCGAGAGCTGCAAGAAGAGCAGGGTGGAGGACCAAGCACTAGATGAGTCCTGAAGCAGAGGATTCCAGGTGGGGTGGCTGTGGGCACAGTGGCTAGGTGGACAATGCCAGCAGCATGCACAAGCAGAGGGTTATTAGGAGCAAGGAATGTGCAGCAGGGAAGAGCCGGTGGCCATCGGCTCAGGCACAAGCGGAGAAGGGCTGGGCATCGATGTCACAGGGAGGCCAAGAGGGAAGGAGCCTCTGAGGCGGGTAGGGCGGGAACAGCCCAGGCTGAGCCTCCTGGCACCTGACCAGTTAAGCACCAGCTTCTCTTTGGCCCAGGACAGGGTAGTGCCCACTTGCGGATACAGATGTGGTCTGGGTCTAGGGAAAGGGTCACTTGCTGGGTCTGTTCTCCGGCTGGGAGCTTGGACAGGCAGCGTGGTGTGGCAGCTCCAACACTGTCCTCCCCCGATGCCCCTGCAGTTTTCAGGCTTCTGGTACATTATTGCCATCGCCACAGACACCCAGGGGTTCTTGCCGGCTAGAGACAAGAGGAAGCTGGGGGCGGCTGTGGTGAAGATGCACAAAGCAGGCCAGCTCAAGGTGGTCATCGCCTTCAGCCGGTGAGGGGGTAGGCTGTGCCAGCGGTCCTGGCACACCTTTCCAGACTGGCCAGGGACACCGTTCTCTCTGGAAAGAAAGAGCCCACAGGAAGCAAAGTGGAGTCCTGGAGGAAGCAGACCCGTCAGATGGTTTTGTGACCTCTTCCTCCCCTAAATCCCAAAGGGTGATTTTGGGTGAAATACCTGGCATCAGGGAGGGAGTGTTGGGAGTGGACCTCTCAGCTCTGGGCGGGCCTTTGCCCAGATTAGGAGATTCCCGCCCCAAGTGGTCACCTTGGCCCCTGACCACCCGTCCCTAGGCTCTAGGGGCAGAGGGTGAGTAGAACTGGAGAAGTTGGTGGTGGAAAGTGGTGCTCTGGCTGCAGCTCACAGCACCTGTCCCCAGGCCTCAGGGATGCCGGTCCATGGAGGTGACCCTGAAGAAGGACAGAAAGAAACCTGTGTTCAGGAATACCTGTGAGTAGATGCCTGGGCCATGGAAAACTGAGCATGTGGCAGGCAGGCTGGACACCGAGGATGGGTGAGCAGGGTGGCCGTGGTCCCAGAGCAGGCCTGGGCGGTGAGGTCAGTGAGAAAGGACCATGCTGGACTGGCTGATGTGTTGGGCACTGGGTTGTGTACTGTGGGTGGGCATGGATCCAGGCACCCGTGGCTACTGGTGCTTGTCTTGCAGTGAAGGGGATAAAGGGTTTCCATGTGCTGTCCACTGACTACACATATGGCCTGGTCTACCTCCGCTTGGGGCGTGGAGTCAACAACTACAAGAGTCTACTGCTCTTCAGTGAGTCCTGTGCACAGCGTCCCCTTCGGGTGTCAGAGCCGTGGGGGTGGAGGGCTTGCTTAGGGATCAGAGACATGAGACATAGAGGTGAGGGAGGGTTGGGGAAGACAAGGCTGGAAGGTGAGGCTGGCTAACTGGGGAGGAGGATGGCTGGTGAAGGGTGGTCTGAGAAGGGCTGTGGCGGCAGAGCCTGCTGCATGTAGGGTTGGAGGAGGCGGCAGCAGCAGAGCCGAGGGGAGACCCTCACCAGGAGGGGTCTAGATCTAGGGGCTGCCGTAGAGGACAGCGTGAGTGCTGGGGTGCTGCCCCAGAGGAGGCTGAGATGTGGGCTCTGAGCTCTGAGCTCTGGGAAATGGAGGGTTAGGACTAGGGGGCTGGATCCAGTGGGAACCAAGGGCAATGTTAGGGAAAGCGCTGGGGAGGGTGGATGGAAGTGATGTGGTGAGGAGGAGGGCGCAAGTCTGGGCTGCAGACAGGGGTCTGTGGAAAGAGCAGAGGAAGGCGTGGTTAGAATGTAGCAGGCCTGGACGTGCCCACGGGGTGGCTGGAGTGGCTTACAGGGACCGAGGAGGCTCCCAGGTGTCCGCTGGCTGCAGAGTGACCCCATCTCCTAGCTTTGGAAATGGGGCACCGGCACAGAATGACAGTGAGTGGGAGCATGGGAGATTAGGGTGCAGCCCTCCAGAGGTCATATGGGCATCCCTGCTGCTGTGATTCTGTCCCCAATTCAGACAGACAGAACATCTCTAGCTTCCTGAGTCTGCGAGAATTCCTGGACAAGTGTCACACTCTGCAGCTCGCCAAGCAGGCCACCATCCTTCCGAAAGACGGTACCTCACGGCCTCAAGCTTTTGTTCTCCTGCCCTCACTCTGTCCCCTTAGACAGCTGGTCTGTGTAGGAGATGTGCATGCACGTGAATGTGTATGTGTGCATGCATGCATGCATGCATGCATGTCTGTGTGGGTAGCCATGTTGTCTGCAAAGTCAACTGTGAAGATGCCCAAATGTTCTCATCCCCCCTGGACCTGCGGGCTTCCTGGGAGCATTGGGTGCGCAGTGTCCCATGCAGACATGGATGGCTCCTACAATGTACAGACTCCAGCCGACACTCTCAGTGGAGACTGCACAGCTCTACCCTCTTTAGAGTCCAGGGCAGCCAGGGCCATGACCCTCGTATGGATTCCCGACAGAGGCGGCAGCCAGGCCTCTCAGCCCCTTCGTTCTTGCCCACAGATTCCTGTGCACACACCATCCTGCCGTGACAGCCAGCCACCCTCTGCTCATCCCTTTGGCTTGAGAGCCTTCCTGACCCTGGGAATGCTGTTCCAGATGGTGGCTGTGACATTCAGAGGTATCCCGTGACTGCAGGCCAGTGACTGACTGACTGCACAGGGCCCAGGCTGTGATGGCTGCTTGCATCCCCCCCAATCCTAGCAAACTTCCACTGGCTGTGCTCACGGCTTTCTCTTTGGTCCACCTGCCCTGGCAGTGTCCTGGGCTCCATTGGAGGACAAGTCTGGCACTTTCCATCTCTTTACCCTGGGGAGGCCAAGCACAGACCACAGGCTCATCACACTCCCATTTTTTCCTTTCTTTTAAAATGGGTTTCTTTATTTTGGGGGCTAGAGAGACGGCTTAGTGGTTAACAGTACATATTGCAGAGAACTCAAGTTTAGCCCCCAGCATCCATATTGAGTGGCTCACAAATGCCTGTAGTTCCAGCTCCAGGGGATCCAACAGCCACTTCTGGCCTTTGTGGGCCCTGCACACACATGCACAACCTGCCCATATATACATATAATTAAAAATAAAAATCTTTAAAATTTTTTATTTTCATATGTCCTTTTCTGTTCTATTGTTTTGTTTTGTTTTTTCAAGACAGGGTTTTTCTGTGTAACAGCAGCTCTGGCTATCCTGAAAGTCCTTTGTAGACCAGGCTGGCCTCGAACTCACAGAGATCTGCCTGCCTCTGCCTCCCGAGTGCTGGGTGCCCAGGAGTGGTCATACAGTAGTTCTAGTTTCTGTTTTTAGGGGTGTCCATGCTGACTTCCACAGTGGCTGCAGCACCCCCTCTTTACCTCTGACCACTCAGCCATGTTTGGCTACAAGGAGCAGGGACAGCAGGACCTCCTCATTAGGAGGCCTCCTGGGCTGGCTCACCTGCTCGCTGGGTCAGCTTTCTGCTTTTCATGTAACCAGCATCACTGGCTTTCTCCTCCTTGTGGGTGTCTCTCCTCCGGTCCCAGGCATGAGCATCTTCTTCCGTGGCCTGCTCACAGCAGCAGGCTTCCAGCCCCAGAGTAACTAACGCCTCCACCGGTGCCACCAGTGCTGAGCAGTCTTGTGTTGTCGATTTTCACTCCAAACCTACCATGTCGCCGTGTGAGCAGCATGTAGGCACACTGACTCGGTTCTCTCCTTTCATGATGTGGGCCCTAGGACTGAGGTCATTGGGCTTAGCAGTCAGCATCTTTATTTACTGAGCCTCCCCTCTGGCCTTCTAATACTGGCATGTAGAACGAGCAAAACTGCAGCAAGAACGAGTTCCACCTCCAGGAAATTCTCAGACGTGCCTCTAGGTCTTGCTGCCGACACCCCAAGACCTCTGCCTCTGCCATTACAAGTGGCTTCGGTTTGTTGGGATGGGACATGCCATGCCTTCTGGGGTATGCTGCTTGGGGAAGTCGGGCCTCTTTCATTTAGCGGTGGTGCTCTGAGACCCCATGCTGATGAGCACATGGCCAGCCTTCCTCTCTAGTGCTGGCTGCTGGGCGTTAACAGGCTGGACTTTGTGATGGCCTTTACACACAGTTAAGCCACACGGAGCCACTGGGGTGTTACGGAGCAGGGCTGCACTTAGGGTTAGTTTGTCTCCGTTGCTTAACATGATGCTTCTCACTGGCTACCCTGTCACCCAGGTGTGGGGACTGGGACAGAATCCGACTGTCTCCAACGGTCCCAAGGCTTGCTCTGTGATGGACTGGGTTTACTTAAATATATATTTTTTTTTTTGGCAAGAATACCAATACCGAGTGACCTGTGACCAACCATGTCGATCGGCACAGGATTCTGTTTGTGCTGTTCACAGTCACAAGGCTTCTCCCTCATAAGACACTTGCTCTCTGTGCTTTTCAGTTCATTACCTGTGTGTGTTCTGGTCACTGGCCTTTTGGCTCCAGGGCAGTTAGACATGATTTCTGGCTTCTGAATGAAAACAGAAGCCCAGGAGCCCAGACTCAGAGGAAGGCAGGTGATGTCAGGCTCCACTGTTTCCTGGGAAGGATCTAAAACTTACATGTGGTGGAAGGGTAGTAGCTGACATTGGGCATGGACCTATAGCCCTCCTGGGAAGGACCCAGAATTTAAGTATGGTGGGGTCCTGAGCACCCCTCTAAGCCTTAAGGTCCAGGAATGTCATAGGGAGCTGAGCTTGGGATCCCATCTCTTCCTCTGATACCTTTGGTCCTTAATGATAGATGGTGGACAGGCAGAGTGAAGGACAGCCATGCCCTGACACCTGGCCTTAACAATCTCCAGATTGTTGTTAAGTCAGGGTGGGTAAGACTATCCTTACTAGGGGCCTCAGAGTCCCAGGACAGATGCTTTCTTGTTCTGGACTTTTCCAGTGGTGGGGGAGGAGGAAGAGAAGGAGGGAGGAGGGGGAAGAAAAGGGGAGAGATAGGTGAGGAGAAGAGGGATGAGGAGGAGAAAGGGGAGAAGTGGGGAGATGTTGGGAAGAGGGAACCATGGAAGGTCCCAGAGGGCAGACACGAGTCAGTCAGTAGGTCTGGGTGCCTACATATGCCCCACAGGGTAGACTCAGAATCTATCCCTCTGCCCATGAAGGTAGCCTCCTTTGAAGCAGCCACCGGTGGATGGGGGCAGATTTGGTCCCCATTCCCATAGAGCCAGCCTTGCACATTATTACACTGTTTGCCACAGCGGGACCTGGATCTCATATGACCCCGGTAAGGTTAGATCTACCTCAGGGTCCTGGGAAGGGCTCACAGCCACTGTGGCCTCAGGAGCACTTTCGATGCCATTTCCCTGACTCAGATGCCAGAGGCAGTGGCAGAGCTGGGTTCTCCCTGCAGTGTGTGTGTGGCTGGAGAGAGAGCCACGCATAGTCAGGCCGCAGGTGAGTCCATGGATGAGCATATATAATCGTAATACCAGACCACATGTTGCCTGCTACTGCAGAGACAGGAATCGAATCCTTAGGCTGTGGTTTATTCGGAGAGACCAAGAGTGATCAAACGAAGTGGGTGTGCTGGAGGAACACTAGACTCCGTGGACTTGATGTGTGTGTGCCCTGCAGACCTCTAGAGGAGACACAGGAAGGGGAAAAGCAACAGTGTCATAAAGCTCAGAGACAAGGCTGACCACCTAGACAGAAGGACAAGATTTTGGAATGAGTATTGCCCCTGTCCTGGTGAGAGATAGCTCAGACAAGGCAGTCTCCCCTGGCTTCCCTGATTGCCAGCTCTCGGGGTAAAGCACAATTTAAAGAACCCATTACTGTACCTGCTCATTGAGCTGTGACACACAGCAGGAGTTATTGCATTCCAATGACACATATGGGTGAACCTATGCCTGATTGTATGTTGTAGCTGAAGTTTTCCTGGTCCTGCCTGGCCCACGGTCAGGACAAATCTCTCTCACCCGCCAGTCCCACAGCTGCTCGGACCCAACCAAGTAAACACAGAGACTTATATTACTTATAAACTGTGTGGCCATGGCAGACTTCTTGTTATCTAGTTCTTGTATCTTAAATTAACCCATTTCCAGTACTTTTACATCTCACTTCCTCTGTGTCTGGCTGGCAACTCCTGACCCAGCCCTCCTGTTCCCAGAATTCTCCTCTCTGCTTGTTCCACCTGGCTACTGGCCAATCAGCATTTTATTTATCAATCAATCAGAGCAACACATTCACAGCATTCACAGCAGTATGTAATGTGACAAATGTTGGCGGGCCAGGGGGGGGGGACAGGTGGCTCTCAGGTGTCCCCTCAGTGTCCATGTGAAGCTCTGACTTGCAGTGGGATAATGAGGAGAAGGACCCTCATTGCCCAACCTCATGGGACGTTTCTGTTGGATGAGGTTGGGCAAGTGGGTTCTTATGATGGGAATGAATCAGTGCCCTGCCTCATAGGGACACAGTGAGACGACACCCAGCCAACTGAAACTTCCATCATATGGAAGCCCCCTTGGACTATCAGAGCTTTGAGACACAAATGCTGTTTAGTCCTCAGTCTGGGACCCTTGGCTATGGCATCCCCAGCTGATGAATCTACACACATGAACCCACCTTAAACCCACAAACTCTCAGCTTTTCCTGGGGGCTTGGTCTTTGACGGGAGAACACTCTTGGACAGCGTCTTAACACTGGCCATTCTGAGTGTGTGTGGGATGATGAAAACCCTTCCTGTGGGAAGGTGGAGGAACTTGGGATGACAGAGGGAGCCTCACTCACAGGCCTGGACACGGTGTTCTGATGGAGGAGGTGTAATGACTCTGCTTGGTGACAGAGACAAGCTTTATTTTGAGCTCAGCCCACAGGTCCAGGGCCTCCAGGATCTCTTCCTGCTTCCTAGATCAATGTGTCCCCCTGATTCCCACCCCCACCACCTCGCATGTCTGCTTTTCTGAGTGAGAAGCTAGGCGGACTAGTCTGTTTCCAGAAAGCCCTGGCTGCTTCTCTTAGGGCTGGGGTTTCTGCATTTCTTTTTGTAGTTAAGCCACAGGGCAGGAGCAGGTCTCATTGACTTCTGCAGAAATAGCTATAAAAGTGAATGGTCACAGACAGCCACTGACAAGTTTGCACACACACACATACACAGCTGTGCATGCACCCATGTTCATGTATGCATTGCACCCTGACAAACAGCTGCATTAGCACATATGCTTTATAGGTAGAGCCTCATGTTAACACATGCTCTAGCATATATAATGCACACATCCCATCTTTTGCACAGAGCACACTCACAGTGGGTCACATACCTGCATGCACACTCCAGATATATGCATATATGCAGAATTTACATTCGTGCACCTGGACACCTACACAGGCACATGTATATACACGGTAACCAAGCATGCGTGATATATGCATATATATATATATATATATATATATATAATACACACATTCATTCACATGCATACATATTCATCTATACACATATATGTATGCATATAAATGCACATACACTCCTGCTCGCCCCATCTCTAGCTCAGAGCAGAGTCTGCCATGTTAACTTGCAATGAAGGAGGGGCTGTCCAGTGCCCCTGCCCTTTTCATAAAGACTGGATGTCTGGA